GGGGTGCTTGGGTGCTGACTCACTCAGCAGACACTGGTTAAGCACCTGCTATGTGCCAGCTGCTGCGGAGCATGTGAGGAGCTGGCAATGCCCAGGGGAGGAAGGCAGATGCCCCACCCTCTCGGGCTCTCAGCCATGGGAGGGGACAAGCTAGGTGAACAGGCAGGTGGCTGCATTGCAGTGACTTGCGCTGAGACGGAGAGGGGAGAGGCGAACTCCGAACTCCCGGACCAGGTGACAGCTGAGCTGCACTTTGCAAGGCAAATGGGAATCAGCCAGGAGGCATGGAGCATCAGCCCAGCAGGGTGTTGAGCGCGGCCTACGCAGAAGGTCAAGTGGGGAGGCGTTGAGAGACGTATTCTTTCAGAGGCGGCGGTTGCAAGTGACAGAGACAGGACTGAACCAGCTCCATCAAGGAAATGCATTCATTGGGTCATATGACTAAAGAGTTCAGGGCTCGGTGGCTGCAGACGAGGTTGATCCAGGGACCCAATGGTGTCACTGAGAAACCAGGTCTTCCTATCTCTCCGTGGTGCCCTCCCCAGAGGGTCCTCCTGGCTCGGCTGCCTGGCCTCTGTCCCAGGTCGGTAGCCTGCTGGTGGGGCCATTGGGGTCACTGGTCTACGTTCTGACCCCATCCTGGTGTCCAGGCCTTGGGAAAGGTGGACATTGGGAGGGGTCAGCCCCCAGCACCACAGTGGTCCCCAGAGGGGAAAGGCTTAGGGGAGTAGAGGGCAGGAGGCCAGATTTGGAAGGAGATGAGCCAGGCTGGGGAGCGTAACTCAGTCCAAGGATAATGGAAGCGAGGGACTGACTTGATCAGATGGATGAGAAAGGCCTCCCTGGCTGCTGAAGACGCCCGGGTTGGAGGAGGGCAAGCAGGAGGCAGGGAGGCCAGCGGGCGGCTGTTCTGGTGAAGGGGGAGGGGGGCTGTGTGGGGGGACGGACAGAAATGGGAGACGGTGGACATGGGAGTGGAGCGCGGGGAGGAGTCCAGGGCAGCTCCCAAGTATCTGCTGTGGGAACGGCGGGAAGGGGAACTGGGAGGGGGGCGGGCAGTGCCAATGAGCGGGCGAGAGGCTGCAGTCCCTTTGGACGGACCGGTGTGAGGGGTCTGAGAGAGAACCAAGCTCAGATGGACAGAAGGCAGTTGGTTGGATAGGGGCATCCGGAGCCTGGGGTGGGCGATGGGAGTGCCCACAGCCTGGGGTGGGCGTGAAAGACCAACAGTAGGGTTTGGAGGCAGCCAGGAGGGCAGCCAGGGGAGCTGCTGTCCAGAGGTGGGTGAGACCAGGACTGCCAGTGTCCTTGGGGCTTACAGACAGCAGCCGCGGTGACCTTGGCAAGAACAGTCTGTGTGGAGTGGCAGAGGGTGAGCTGGCACTGCCTGGGGTTGGGGCGTGAGTGGGAGGTGAGCTCAAGGATGGAGGGGTGGGAGCAACTCTTTTAAGAAGCTCAGCTCAGCTCAGCGAAGGAAAAGGCAGCTGTAGCTTCAGATGACAGGGTCCGTAAAGACGATCGTGAAACTGTGTGTGTGTGTGTGTGAGAGTGTGTGAGTGTGTGTGTGTGGAGTGTGTGTGTGGAGTGTGTGTGGAGTGTGTGTGTGTGTGGAGTGTGTGTGAGTGTGTATGGACTGTGTGTGTGTGTGTGTGAGAGTGTGTGAGTGTGTGTGTGTGGAGTGTGTGTGTGGAGTGTGTGTGGAGTGTGTGTGTGTGTGGAGTGTGTGTGAGTGTGTATGGACTGTGTGTGTGTGTGTGTGAGAGTGTGTGAGTGTGTGTGTGTGGAGTGTGTGTGTGGAGTGTGTGTGGAGTGTGTGTGTGTGTGGAGTGTGTGTGAGTGTGTATGGACTGTGTGTGTGTGTGTGTGAGAGTGTGTGAGTGTGTGTGTGTGGAGTGTGTGTGTGGAGTGTGTGTGGAGTGTGTGTGTGTGTGGAGTGTGTGTGAGTGTGTATGGACTGTGTGTGTGTGTGTGTGAGAGTGTGTGAGTGTGTGTGTGTGGAGTGTGTGTGTGGAGTGTGTGTGGAGTGTGTGTGTGTGTGGAGTGTGTGTGAGTGTGTATGGACTGTGTGTGTGTGTGTGTGAGAGTGTGTGAGTGTGTGTGTGTGGAGTGTGTGTGTGGAGTGTGTGTGGAGTGTGTGTGTGTGTGGAGTGTGTGTGAGTGTGTATGGACTGTGTGTGTGTGTGTGTGAGAGTGTGTGAGTGTGTGTGTGTGGAGTGTGTGTGTGGAGTGTGTGTGGAGTGTGTGTGTGTGTGGAGTGTGTGTGAGTGTGTATGGACTGTGTGTGTGTGTGTGTGAGAGTGTGTGAGTGTGTGTGTGTGGAGTGTGTGTGTGGAGTGTGTGTGGAGTGTGTGTGTGTGTGGAGTGTGTGTGAGTGTGTATGGACTGTGTGTGTGTGTGTGTGAGAGTGTGTGAGTGTGTGTGTGTGGAGTGTGTGTGTGGAGTGTGTGTGGAGTGTGTGTGTGTGTGGAGTGTGTGTGAGTGTGTATGGACTGTGTGTGTGTGTGTGTGAGAGTGTGTGTGTGTGTGTGTGTCAGTGTATGTGGGGGTGGAAGGTTTAGGATGGAGGGATTTAAGCAGGTTGATCTACCGAGGGAAATAATGAGGAGGAGAGATACATGAGGACCAAGGAGCTCTGGAGTGTGTGTGGACTGTGTGTGTGTGTGTGTGTGTGTGTGTGTACGCGCACGCACATATATTGTGTACATGTGTGTACTGTGTGCATGCATGTACAGATAAACATATGTACTATGTGTATTGTGCAAGTATATGTGTTCATGTGCACATGTGTGCATGTGTGTGCATGCACAAGTAATTGAGAAAACACTAGGAAAGTGGAGGGGACCTCACAGAGTAGAAATGTTCTCCCTCACTCGACCGTATAAACATCAAAACCAGGAGACTACGCTCCAAGGGTCACTGGCCAGAGGAGACTCCCATCCGTGCCTGCACCAGTCATGTTGACATGGGGATCTGGACTGGGTGGTCCGGGACCCTCGGTGCCCCTGCCCTCGTTACTACCTGCCCTAAATGTTGGGCTTGATGAACCGGTTTCAGTGAGGGGCAAACAGCGGCCTCAGATAGAAAACCGTCCTGGGTGGATGCCACCGCGGGAAACTCAGAGGAGGAGGCTCCCAGAACCTCAAGGGCCCAAAAACACAGCTCCGGGTTTACATCTGGCAAACCTCAGAGTCACCCAAAGACCCAGAGCTGGGTTTCTTTAAAGCGTCATGGTTTCCTAAGCAGGTTGACATTTGCGAGCTGGGCACTCATTGTTGTCCTTGCCTGGAAATGTCAGGACCAGTTCCATGT